GAGTTCAAGGTCAGCCTGAGCTACATCCAGAAAGGTGTCTCTAGAAAAAGAAAAGAATCTTTGGTGTAGGAACTCTCTGGCTGAGAGTATGCACGTGACCACATAGTTAGCAAGGAGGGTGCCGGAGATCTCTGTATTCAAATGTAGTCTAAAAAATAATGCTAACATCTCATTTGAACAAACAGAAAAAATAAGGTGTCGGGAAGTTTGTTTGTTTGTTTGTTTTGTTTCTCTGTTTTTGTTTGTCCCTGGGTCACAGCCAATTAAAAACAAACTGGTTGCAAGTTTCAGCGTCAACACTAGAGGGCGCTATGTGCACAGGCGCGCCAAGACCTTATTCTAGTCTCTCTGTTCTAGTCTGCAGTTCCTAATGACCCACTTGCATTAGGGGACGCTTGTGCCCCCAGTGTACCTGGAGGCCGTGCTGGAGTGAGGTGCCCTTTCCAGCATCCAGGGTGCTGCTGCCCAAGGAGACCGAAAGCCACAGCCAGACAATTAAGTCAACTGTGGACATACATTTTAGAAAGAGTGGACACCAAGACCCCGCTAAGAACCTACCAGAGGTCCACAGACACTGTGTCACAGGACTATATCCCACACCTTCCCTCCATTCCTTTCAGTAGTTATCATGGCAGCCTTTTTGCTTGGTCTATTTTTTGAGGCGTAAATACCAGTAGTTTCCTGAAACTTAAGCATTGTATTTTTATGCATGCTGGGTTTTGTGCCAGACAGTTTGGTGTGGCTGCCTATAAAGCGCTTTATTTAAGGCTTAGATTCTTTATTGGCAGTCAAGTTACGAGAAAATTAAAACAAAAACCAAAAACCTGCTAATATATTTCTTTCTCCAAGTCTAAAAGATGTGTCTAATATTTTGTATTCCACATGTTGAGAGATTACTTCACCTTTAAATACTTTAATGTAAGCCAGTGCTTACATTAACTGTCAGTTCCCTCCAAGACTTTGTTTGCCTAGATGAACAAAAAGTATACTTTCTAGAATTAAAAACAAAAAAAAATTGCAAAACAATTCTTACTATGTGAAATGAACAGCAATCTATTCCTTTCTGCTTTAGCTAACCCATTTGTGATATATTTACTTATTTATTCCTTTCTTTTTTCTTCCATAGGATCTCAACATATAACTCTGACCTATAACTCATTGTGTAGTTCACTGGCCTCAAAACTCAGAGATCCACCTGCCTGCCTCTGCCTCCCTCTTAAGTGCTAGATTAAATGCATAGGACACAGTGTTTGCCCTGTTTATTCGTTTATAACATTCTTTGTGAGGACTACATTTATGAGAATGGTAACTTACAGTGTACTATGATAAGGACAGCCAGGCAGAAGACCTGATTGCACCATAGCCCAGCCATTGGTTCCAGAAGCGAAGAGTGTTCAGAGCCAAGTCAATAGGAACCTGTCCTGAGATTTCTCAGACTCAGAATTTGAGCATAGCTGCTTCTCCTTTGTGAAAATTGAGACTTCAGAAGTGACGGCAGCTGTCTATGTTCTCTTGGGAATGAAGGGAAGTAGAAGCAGACAGTAAAAATTTGAGACTGGGGGCTTGAAACTGTGTTGGGAAGGGAAATTAAGGTCTCATCTCTTATTCTTGGTCTGCAGGACCATGTTTATCTGTGCTGTCTGTCCTTCTATGCCCTTTCACACTCCCCATCTTTGCCTTTTCTCTTCCATGGACATTTTCCGTTGCCCCGCATGACTTTAAGATTGACCTGAGTGGGGCAATGAGAAATCAATAAAGCACAGACACACATACAGAAAGGCTAGGGTCTCTGATGGAGATGTACTAGCAGCACTGAAACTCAGCACATTTATTACGTGCAGCTGAAGGAGGCAGGGTGAGCTAATCTTGGAAGGGCCTCTAGGAAGCTGTCCCTGCTGCAGTCATCAGGGAGGGGAAAGCTGTGGCTGTTACTGTCAACACACACTGTGGAGCTAAAGATGGACTGTGTATCAACATCAGGATCTGAAACAGAGGAAGAGCTTACCATTCCCCTCCTAGATAAGCCCTTGCCATTCATGTGTGTCTGAGACATCAGGGTCCTTGACATGATACTCATGCCAGGGATGCCCACTCATGTATGAGCATGCTCACTCTCCAAAAAATTTAATCTAAACTTCTATCATTTATAAGCACAGATCTGACAAGTAGAAGCCATGACAAATAAGCACAATAAAAACTTAACCATGTAGTGTAGAGGCTAGTAAATATGCCTGGTCCCTAATCCTTTTTACTGGACGACCATAATAGAGATCAGTGACACCCTTTGTCCTAATTTAGCAGTAAGGAAGAAAAAAAAATCTGGATAGATAAGGCAAGTATCAACACATACACATCTAAATCAAGACCTTTAATATAAATGCTACAACTTGAAACAAATCAACCCTGAGGCAAAGTTCTCATCGTGCAAAGGTGAAGACAAGAAGCTTAAGGAAAAGAGAAAGGATGATGATGGGGAGGGGTGGAGAGGGAGGGAGAAATGGAGGAGGATTATGTGATATTACAAACCTTCAGCCTCAGTGCTAGGGAGGCAGAGGCAGGGTGATCTCTGTGGGTTCAAGGCCAGCTTCAACTGCATAGAGTGTTTCAGCCCTGTCTCCCCCCCCCAACATTTAGAGAAGTGGGGTTGGGGAGGAACTAAAATCTACCTATGTTTTAAAGGACTAACACTGGGAATACTAAAATTGATTCCTGGTCTGGGGTGATAGCCCAGTAGATAAAATATTTGCTGGGCAAGCACAAGGACCTGTAACTTCTATGAAATTTTAAGGCATAGTGTTCTGTGTAATCCCAGGCCTGGAAAGGGTAAGATGAATGAATCCCCAAAGTTGGCTGTCAACCAGCTTAGCCTACTGGACAAGTTCCAGGCCAGTGAAAGGCCTCCCCTCAGAAACAGGGTGGACAGTGTATCCGGGATAGTTTTATGTCAACTTGGCACAGGCTAGAGTCATTCAGGAAGACCCTCAATTGAAAGAGTGCGTCCAGGCTGGGGAGATAGCTTATTGGTTAAGATCACTGGTTGTTCTTCCAGAGGACCCTGGTTCAATTCCCAGTACTGTAACTCACTGTAACTCCATTTCCAGGGGATCTGGACCCTGCAGGCAATGCATTTGCAGCATATGCTGCATAGACATACATGCAAGCAAAACAAAAATAAAATAAAAATAAATAAGTAAATTTTCAAAAAAAAACCTCCATGAGATTTGACTGTAGGTAAGTCTGTAGTGCATTTTCTTAATTACTGATTGATTTGGGAGGGCCCAGCTCACTGTGGGCAGGTAATTCCAGAATGCTATAAGAAAGCAAGCAGAGTAAGAACCATGGCCAACAAGACAGTAAGCAGAGCTCCTCATGGCCTCTGCTTCAGTTCCTGCCTCCAGGTTCCTGCCCTGACTGCACTCAGTGATAGACTATTACCTAAAAGTATAACAAAATAAACCCTTTCCTCTCCAGGTTACTTTTGGTAATGGTGTTTTATCACAGCAATAGAAACCCTAGCTAAGACATTAGTTTGAGGAATAGAATTCAAGATGGACCTCTATCCTATACACATGCACACACACACACACACACACACACACACACACACACACACACACATTCCAAATAAGAGCAAAGTACCCAGATTCAACATGCTAACATCTTCTTCACTCCATCGAGCAGCACAGCCCACCTTTAGCTTCTTCTCTCAAGGCATGCCTAAAGTGTCAGGAAAGTCACTAATTTACACCTAAGTAATAGTTGACATTTAAACTATGGCATATATGCATCTATTTAGCAGCTTAGGCTCCCAAAGTCAGTAAATAAGGTCAACTCAATAGCCTCAAGAATAGAACACCAAAATTAACAGAAAAAGTATGCCCACAAATAAAAAGGCATTAATATATTTTTTTGAATTTATGAATCCTGCCAGAAGAGATGACACACACCTTTCATTCTATTGAGGGGTAGAGGCAGGTAGACCTCTGTGAGTTTGAGGCCAGCCTAGTCAGCATAGGAAGTTCCAGGACAGCTGGTGCCACACAGTGAGACTCTGTCTCAAAATAAATAATTAAACTCATTAATCCCATCAAAACTATTTATTGATATGTTTAAAACAAGTAGTTTCTCTACACACATGCACATATAGGCAATACTAATTGAATTCATTAAGATATAAAAAAATAAAAAAGAGACATGATACTGGGAGGGAGACATATTAGGGGTGGGTTCAAGGGGAGCTGGAAGTAAGGCGTGCTTGGTAATATGATTGCAGAGCATACATGAATGGAGTTCTCAAAGAGGGATGGAGGAAAGGGAGAGAAAAGGAGTCTTATTGGAAAGTTATGAAATCTTTCTACATTATACATACTACATTAGGCTTCGTTTACTAATCTATCTGGAAACACTTAGCCACTCCACTTGTAAGTGCACCCCCAACTGTCCATTTCCTCAAAAACTGATTTTTATAGCCTGAGCTGAATGTTCCTTGGTTACTGGGACACTTTGCATTGAAACTGTAAAGAGCATCAGAAGACAGCAAGTTTCATGAGAGAGGTGAGGAGTGTTTTCAGCATGGGAATCCAGCACACGGTTGAACATGTTGAGTGCATAACAGAAAGTGCAAACAGCACTTTTCTCAGTTGATAGGAAGCAAAAGAGAAGAGATGGCCCTCCCGCTATGAGCAACCACTAAATGACCAGATGATATTAGATTTGTGACCTGTGTCCATGACCCTGTTGGTCATGGAGAACAAGGGGCAAAATAAGAGTTTAACTTGATCATGGAGGCAAAAGCATTTGCCAGAAATCCTCATGAGGACACAGGTGCTGAGTAGAGATGACATAGCATTTGGATTTGTGGCTTGGTTCTAAAGTTCCAGGGAATGTCCAGTGCCATTGAGCCAAGTCTCTGTGACAAGCTTCAGTTTACTCGATGTGGTTGAATCATCTGAGCATAGCTGGACTTTGTGAGGTTTAGACAGAGAGTACACCGGACTGGCCTTCCTCTGTTAGTGCTTGACCTGGCCCTCTAGGCTGGAGATAACGGGCTTTCGTGGTTGCCTTAACTGTGCGCTGACATTCTCTGAACTATTGGTCAGAACTGGAGCCAGCAACCTGATGCACTGTCATATGGATAACTATTAAGGACAATTGTTCACGAACTTATGGAAAATACTGGCTGGATATTCAAATTAAAGGGAGGAAGTGTGTAGAGTATGTGCTCTGAAGATTCTCATACCACCACAAAGCAATTTCAAGCACACCCAAGAGGAAAACTTGTAATTTTTAAAAGGTGAGTATAACAATTTAAGTCGAGGAAGTATTTCAATATATACTCAAGTATTTCAAAACTAATTGTAGACATGAGGCAAAGTTGAGTATTTTTCAGCATAGAAACATCTTGTGTCTATTTATGAAGCCAAACCAAGTAGAATGTTAAGCCTACATGGTTAAAATATATGAACATTTAAAAGTAAAGTTAAATATTAAATTGTGAAAATAAACTACGTATTCCAACTTGGTTAGAGTTAGAAATAGTTGCATTCTAAAGTTGCTGATTATTTATTCTAGAGTTCAGAGTTCCTTAAAAATGACTCAGGGAAAAATATTTTACACAGGTGGTAAAACATGTGAGATTTCACAGTGAGCTTAAACTGTTGGGCCCTAGAATTGTGCAAATAACAGGGATCAGACCACCCAAGTCTATAAACCAGAATCAATTTTATTAAAAGAACTGTGAGAAACAAACAAACAAAAGACTCCTAACTAGTTAGGGCCACAGTTATTTGGCTCTGTGACCCAGAGAAGGGGCTACAAGCATCTTTTTATAGTCAAAGGTTATCCACAGGGCAGAGAGTACATACCAGGGTTTACTGTGTTTTGAGCATCTTGCCAACTTGAGCTAAGGGTTTTATGGCCTCTGATTACAGGGTGTTAGCTCTAGATGTTTACCTAGCCTGGGTCTGTTCTACTGGAAGAATGTAAGGCAAAGGATGAGGTAACTTGCTTTAAGGCCATTGTCAGGCTACAGGCATACAATTTTTCATGTCCCAGGGACCTTCAAGACCTTGATATACTTAAATTTTAAGATGTGCATATGGAATGTGTATTTCTTTCTCCTGTAGAGAAAAGAAACTCTCAAGAAAACTTTCATTCCCCAAGAAATGGACCTCAGTGACAGATCCAGTAACTCCAAGTCCTCAGTCAGCACTTCTCATTATTGAGAAGTGATCTGTCCTCTTACAATACTTATAATCAAACACAAAATCAAAAGGAGAGCTCTCCAGATTATACAGTAGGACAGGACTTAAGGTCACGGAGATGAACTGCCAGAGGAACTTAGAGCATGCAGAACCCAGGTTATTTCCTGTGGATGAGCTCACATCAACACTCAATCTGAGTCATATACCTAGGGGTCTCTGGAAAACTGAGCATTATCTACCTACAGAGTAAACTGGGTTTGAAGCATCAGCTCACCTGTGAGATAAGTAGAAACTCACTCTTCACCAGCTTCGAAAACAGTGAGGATGTTTCACACGTCCAAGGTATTGACAGGAGTCAACCAGAGAAATGAGCAACCTTGGTTTCTGATGTGCTGCTGTGGGTGTTCCAAACTCACCTTTTGTATCAGGAGTCAGTGTTGAAGCACCTCAGAAAGCTAGACAAAGACCTATTGTATGATCCATCTACAACACTTCTTGGGAATATTCTCAAGGGACTCTATATTCTACTATAGATTTACTTGCTTATTCATGGTCATTGCTGCTCTGTTCACAATAGCCAAGAAATGAAAACAGCCTAGATGCCCATCAACTAATGAATGCATAATAAGGATATGATGCATTTGCCTAATAGAATATTATTTGCTGAAGACCCACTTTGACTAGTTTCAGGTACCGAAGAGGATGTGTGAAGTCCAAGGGGGGTGGATGTGGGGAGAGGGGACGAATGACAGAGTCTGAGGGTAAATCAGGATGGTTGCCCATGCATTTATGAAAAAAGGCTATACCTTTTTATTCTCAAATGTTTAGCCACAGGCAAAGTTGAAAGCAGACTCAATGATTCAGGGATGGAAAGCGGCCATTAACTTCATTATAGCATTTTCCCTCTAAGTTCAGCAGGCATCGAACAGCCTATGGCTCTCAAAAGTTCAGTAACTTCACCAGGAGCCCTCTTACATCAATGAAAGGACCACAATGTCCTCCTGACAGAGATAAGGAGAGCACTGCTTTTAGCAAGCAGTAATTTTCCTCAAGGACCAGAGGGGATGGAGGCCCTTGTCCAAATGCCTGACCTTGGGAAAAGGACTTCCTCTGGGAACCAGACACTCCACTACAGTCAGTTTAAGAACAATTTTCATTCCTCAAGGAGCTTGATTCAGTGTAAGCACTCAGCTGTCCCCTGACTTTGTTTCTTTGTGTCTTCTACATGGGGCTGTTCCCCGCATATGCTCCCAAAAGGGAACGTCCTGGTGTGTCACTCTTTTCCCGCTAAACTATACCATTTGGAATCCTCTATACTTATTAACTGAACTCTTGCCCTTAATGGCCTCAGGCTCTGGAGCTGGACTGTACACTTCTTCCTTAGGGTCAGGTGTCCAGTTAGTAAACTCTACCTTCCCTGATTTTGGTGCAGGGTACACACAGTAGGGATTCGTGTGTGCAGATTCGTCACGCTATATGGTTCCGTGGTGGTGGGAATTTTTACCTACAAATTATTTTGTTTAAAGAGGCTGTTTTTATACATTTTCAGCCTTCAAAGTCTGCACAAAATTTCTCAAAGGAAAAAGAAGAAGGGAACTCTCATAACATGTAATGAGAATCATAAACATTTAAAGTAAAAAAGGTGCTGGAGAATTGTGATCCAAAATGTTGAATTGCTAGAAGCAGCAATGGTTGATATGCAGTTCATGCCAATTATCTACCCATTAAAAAAAACTATAAATTTAGAAGATTAGTGCATTTCCCAACCCTTCTCAGAGAAGCTTCTTTGTATAGTATGAGGTGATTAAATACAGACCCCCAACCGGTCATCATGTAGGGAACGACTGACTGTGGTGCGACCTAAATCTTTAAGTGGCATCCCACCCCCTTGATCACACGGCTCAAGGAGCATTGTAGAAGGGGCAGAAAGACTCTAAGTGCAAGAAGTAGTGGACATCTGCAGAAAACCACATCTGCCGGGTACATGATGCAGTGTGCACATGAGCTCACAGCATCTGTGACTGCAAACACAGACATAAGCAAAGTTAAGCCAGCTAAAATCCCACCATGGTCAAGGAGCTATTGGCTATTGATTGCTGCTGGCACCTGAGAGGGTCTGATTCGGACTCTGATATGCTCTCCGTGCTCTAGTAGATAGCAATAGTGGGAGACAGGTGAGGAACTGGAGGGGGAAAATGAGGGGGATTTGATCAAAATGAGTTGCTGAAAGCCTTTATCATTTATTAGGGAAGTAGCAATTAATAATCTCGGTATCAGCCAACCAGAATTAACTTCTCATGCAGAAAGCTTGCTTTGCAAAATCTGCAAGAAATACTGACTCCAGAATATCTGTTGCTGTGAATTTGGATGTGTAATCTTGATATGAAAGTAATATATTGGGTGTTTTATATTCTCAAAAAGACCCCAGGGGGGGATTCCTACTCTCCAGGGTGTCCAGAGCTCATACTACATAGTCTTAGTTTTCCCCTTTGATATAGCACTGAGAAGTACCCTTTAATCAGTTAACAGCATGTTTTACAAGTCACACTTTACAAGTCAAATCTCCCCTCTGAGATGTGAGGCACCTGCTTTTCTCAAGATTTTATCTGCCTTCTTGAGAGCCATGCATGCCCTATGTCAGAGAGGTGTAAGTTGTCTGTGAGTCTATAAACTGGAAACCTTGTGGGATCTAGGAGAATTTTTAAGGAGGAGAATTTTAAAAGAACTTCTAAAGAGAGCTTTTAGAGAGAGAACTTTTGGAGAGAAACTTTTGAAGAGAACTTAAGGGAAGAACTTTCTTTTTCTTTTCTTTTCCTTTTTCTTTTCTTTTCTTTTTCTCTTCCTTCCTTCCTTCCTTTCTTTCTTTCTTTCTTTTTTTTTTTGAAGAATAAAGAGCCGTGAGAGAAATGCATGCATGAACTGTCTCATTGGCCCTCAGATCTTATTAGTCAACACCAATCCACCGGCTGTAAGCCTCCTGCCTGAACCCTCATTAGTGCATTATGCGCGCGTATGAAATTTTTAAGCAATTTCATAAGTGGGTTAGAGAATTTCTCATTGTACATGACAGCATGTATGCAAATTGAGAAATAAGTCAAAGCATTATTTTTAATGTAGCTTGTCAACAAATATAGTGGTTGAAACAGGAGAACAAACATGGAAAACTATACCAGGTCTGTGAGAGAGGCTTGTGGTTTTCATCTGTTTGATTTGGTTAATAGAGAACTACAGAAACCAGGAAACAAAGTGAAGCAGCAGGGTGATTGAAGTTCAAGTTTTTCTGTAAAACCTGGCTCACATAGCTCAAAGGAGAAGAAAACTAAAGAAGGGGCAAGAACAAGAAAGAGGGGAAGGGCGAACTATTCAATTGTACCTTGTCTCATTTTTAAAACAGAAGAAAAGTGGTTAGAAACACTGTGGTGTATTACATCTAAGGGTACACAGGTGTCAGAGACAGAGGAAGTTTCCGGGGTGCTGGGGAGATGCCTGACAGGGAGGGAGGTTGTGATGCTCACAGCTGCTGAAGGCAGGAAGGGCTGCAGAGGCTGAGAAGATTCTACAGTCCCAAGACACAAGGTTCTTTACATTTTAGCAAAAGCCATTTGGGGAAAAAAAAAGCTCTTCTTGAGCTTCTGGTTTGCTGCCTCCCATTAATGATTAACAGTTCAAGTCCCAGAGTGGCAGAAAATCCTGGAGTGCCACTAGCAAGAGGTAAGAGAAACCTGCTGAGAGGATACACAGGAAGCCCTGCCTCAGGCACTAACTGGTAAGTCACATTCATCATGCAGCCCAAGGTCTGCCTGTTAATAACAGCTGGTGGTTTCTATACATCCTTCCCCAAACTTCAGGCAAAGGGGAAGGAGGAGTGAAGATGATGGGAAAATGGAGGGAGAGGGAAAGAGATGGGAAGGGAGAAGGGGAGGGAGAGAAAAGGAAGGGGGAAGAAGAGGAGAAGTGGGGGAGGAGATGAGAGGGGGAGGAAGAGGATCTAAGGGGGAGACGAAAGGGGGGTGCATAGAAAGACAGAAGGAAAAGGAAGGGAAGAGGAGAAGGGGAGGGAGAGAAGAGACTTGGAAACTGAAGATTTCGTGCCAGATTACCAGGAACTTAGGTGATGGAGACACTGGCAGCTGTGGAAGACAAATCCAAGAAACAGACACTACAAAGGAATGTTTTAGAAACTTCTATATGGTGACATAAAATCATGTATGTGTGTAGAGGTGAACTGTCCACAGAAGCAAAGGAGGTCTGCATTCCCATCAGAACTTTTTTAATTAAAAAATAATTAGAAAGCGGGGGAGGGGGACATGGTAGGGGGTAGACAAAGGGCTTTTGAACAAACATTCTTTTGTTCATAAACTGAGTGATCTGTGATCTAAAAGAGAGTCAGTGAGTTCTCTGAGGTCAGGTACCCTACTGGAGCCCTGAGTTTACAGCAGTGGCTGACTACAGTTACTTTTGTTAGGCTGTCAGCTGTTGAGGGCATGAAGGAGGGGCTTAACATTTATGAAAACCACTCTAGATAAAACAGCACTGGCAATCAGTTCTTTGCTTGTTACATTATCAATGCAAAAAAAAAAAAAAAAAAAAAAAAAAAGCAACACTCCCCCCCCCCCATAGCTCTTACCTTATAGGGAATACAAGGCTTATGCTAGAGTCGTATTTGAGTAACCATGGACTGGGACCACAGATTTAGGTTCCCCCAAATTACATGTCTCCACATAGAAGCCATTTCATGAATTTTATACTTCTATAGAACAAATAAAATTATGAGTCAATACAAGTTTAAAATAAAGTTGAAGGGTACACCAGAGAGGCAGGTACAGCAAGATGGGGTAAGCTTTTCTGTAGGCCTTGGATGCTATCTGATAATAGTCATAGACTTTGTGTTGGTGGAAAATAGCAGTATGCTAAGACAATAGATTTCAAAAGATTTTTATTTATTGGTCATAGAATGTTAGTTATGACACAGAGGTGGGCAAGGAATGGATGTTGAAATGGCTAAATCTATCCCAAATTAAAATAAGTAGCCTCTGGACCTGTAACATCCCAAACTTTCCGTATTATAGGAGTTTTTCTAATTTATATTTTTACACCCATGCTGCAGTTTCCTCTCCCTCTTCTCCTCCCAGTCCCTCCCTGCAGCCCTTTTTGCTCCAACCCTACTCGTTCCCCCCCCCCAATTCCCACCTCCTGGTTTCTACTTAGGAAAGGGCAGGTCTCCCATGAATATCAACAAAACATGGCATATCCAGTTGCATGAAGACAAAGCATGTCCCCAAGGTGACCCAGTATAAGAAGTAGTGTCCCAAATGCTAGTAAGAGAGTCAGAGATGGCCCCTATCCCCACTGTTAGGAGTCTCACAAGAGGACCAAGCTACATAACTGTAACATATATGCAAACTGCCTAGGTAGCCCCATACAGGCTCTCTGGTTGTCGGTTCAGTCTCTGTGAGCCTCTATGAGCTCCATGAGTTGATTCTGTGAGTTTTCTTGTGGTGTCTTTGACCCCTCTGGCTCCTACAATCCCTTCTCACCCTTTTCTGCAGGATTCCCTGACCTTCACCTAGTGATTGGCTGTGGGTCTGCATCTGTTTTTCACCAGTTACAGGGTGATGCCTCCCTGATCTGTAAAATAAAAGATAATCATGATACAATCCACAGACCCAGAGAAACCAGGTAACAAGGAGGGTTCATGGGGAAACACCCGGATCTCCCTGGGAAAGGGAATGAGAAGAGATTTTGTTAGTGGACCAAGGGTGGGTGGGAATGGGAACATGAGCAATCAGGTTGAATGTGTGTATGGTTGTATGTGTTGGGGTGGGGAGGGCGGTTCATAGCAGATGTAATAGGGAAGCACTGAAAGAGATTACTGGAAAGAGGGAGGCGTTTTGGGTTCAGGTAAAAACCTGGTGCAAGGGAATCTCCCAGGAATCTACAAGCATGTCCCCAGCTAAGATGCCTACCAATAGCCATTATATAACCTGAACTGGCCAGGTTGGTGCCTGGCCCAATTATCATTGCAGTTCTAATCAGTCAGTCTTTGTAGACATGGGTTCTTTCCAGGAATTCTCACTGACAACATGAAGATGTATGCTCTGTCCACCAGATTATATTGGTCTTTTTCTTAGACAGTTATGTTTCAGCAATGTGGTTACCACAGTGTTCTGAAAGAGCGTGGCCTTTGGCAATAATGTTCATTGTCTTCGATTCCCATCCAGATTAATTAGGAGGCAGGGGCAGGTTTGCTCTTGGGCAAGAATACTGGATTAAGGAAACTAATGAGATGGTACAAACTTCAAACAAGTTAGAATGTCTACGAGGAGATTAGAAAGGGGAGCTCAGTAGAACAGATAAAGACCTTAGATTTTCCAGCACCCATGTAAAAACCTTGGTGCTGTGGCATGTGTCTATAATCCCAGCCTAGCCAGTCTACCTGCATCCTTGAACTCCATGTTCAGTGAGAGATCTGGTCACAAAAAAAAAAAAAAAAAAAAAAACAAGGCAGAACATGACTAAGAAAGACATGCAACTTTGCCATCACAAGCATGAGTGCACACATCCATCCTCATGTAAATATGTATAGCCAAATGCACATACATACAAAAAATGTCTGGGGTACAGTGGCTGAGGTACATATATGAGGGCCTGGACTTAACCTACAATGTCAGCAAAAAGAAAATGAACAAAATGGCTTAGGATAGACGAAGAAATGAAGAGGGGAGGTAATGTTAACAGTGGGCAGGAGCATCAGAAGATGGCTGGTGGCCAGAGGGCTGTGGCAAGAGGCAATCAGAGTCCTAAACACTGGAACCAAGTCTCATAGCTGCATTCACAGAGACTGGCATCACAAAAGATCAAATCACTGGGTGTAGCTATTACTTAGTGGGGGACACTGCTCATGAAAATAGGGTGGACCTTGTTCAACCTGGGACAACGAAGCTGTATCACTACTAGTTACAGGTGGCTCTACTCCTGTAGAGGGGAGTTTTTTGAGTAGAGAAGCCAAGCACTTTCTCTAGAAACAAAAGGCTATTTTTTAAACATTTTACCATATTAATTTATGTGTGTGTGCATTGTGGGGTATGCTTGAGCCACAACATGAATGTGGATTTCATGCTAAAACTTGGGGGAGTCATTTTTCTCATTATACCCAATGGGTCCTGGACATTAAACTTAGATTATCAGTCTTGGTGGCAAACACCTATACCCACTAAACTGTCTTGCCAGTCCACCAAGGTTGAATTTTAAAGTTTCATGGTATATTATGAGATTAGAATGTCCAATGTTGAGAAACTTAAAGAAGATATATTGATAGCAAATAATATCATGAAAAGACACCGAGCTTCACTAGAGAGGTGTAACTAAAACCAAGATAAAACAAATTAGCTGCCATCTGGAATGCCTCCAATTTCAGAGGCTGACCATATAAGTGGGTTATGTGGATGCCTCAAACACTATTGGTGATAATGTAAAATAGAACAATTGTACTGAACAGCAGTTTTATATCTTCCTATGAAGATAGATATATACATATTACATAGCACAGACATTCTAATACTAGGTATTTATCTTTAAAAAAATGTAAAATCACATGGCTATACAGAGACCTGGACATGGGTGTCCATAGGGGCCCCATCATAATGTTCAAAATCTACAAACAATACAATTGCTCATCAAAGAATGAATGATTAAACATATTTAATACAACTGTTCAGTGGCAACAAAGAGCCATACCATGAATACATACAATATGCATAAACTTCAAGATAATTATGCCTAGTAAAAGAACAAGAAAGCATGTCCTGCACTGTTCCATTTCCATAGCATGTCTAGGGAATGTCAATTACTACTTGTCATTAAGAGCAGATCACCAACAGCAGGAAAGGGAAAACAGGAAAAGAGCAGGGCTGCTTGGTAATGACTGATACATGAAGATTTTTGGGACAATATACCAATAAATCAGTTCATTAGTGGCATGAATGAAATATCTTTCGTGAACTAATCCTTAAATAAAATTGAGCACCATACATGGCACACACCTTTTAGTTCTACATAGTGTACACATAGCAATCTCCTTTGGCATAGAGACCCTAATATTATACTACAGCAATGAACTTTTTCATGTGAAAAGGATGAGGTCTGTTGGATATTCAATGAATTCTGCAGTCATAGCATCAAGTCATTGACAGTACCAATATAGGATTTGAATAGTATCACCCATTTATGTAGACTTGCTCCTTAGTTATCTTTGACACTCATGGTGGGTCATATGGGGTACCGGTATGAGAATTCTCCAGGGCAGTAAAATAGAAGAAGCCAGTGTATCAGATACAGGTAGAAGACACCAGAAGAGCACAGCCCTGAGGTGACCAGGATCTGTGTTATAGTTACATATTCTAATATACTCTCTTCCTAGTACTCTGCTTGTGAAAAACAATGTATGTCAAAGCTACAATAATTTCTTTCAGACTTTGTCATTAATAGCAGAGAAATGAGTATTCAATTTGCTCCTATGTCACTTTGGTAAAGTGAACCTGTATTTGAAGTGAGGAGAGCTTAACTCCCAAGCTAGAGTTCTTGAGGCATTCTACAGAGAGACTGCTAAATCCTGGAATAAGCAGTTCCAGGCCTTAGTTGCAGGATGCCTATTGTGTTGAACACCATGTCCTAGTTAGACAGAATGGGCCCAATTTTAACTGCTTGGTACCCACCCACTCTTAATAATTCCCAAAGGCATCTCCTTTTAATTCACACCTATGGGTTACATATTTCCCTGGAAACTGTTAGGTCACTAATCCTCTAATTCTCTCTCTCTCCTCTCTCTCTCTCTCTCTCTCTCTCTCTCTCTCTGTGTGTGTGTGTGTGTGTGTGTGTGTGTGTGTGTGTGTGTGTGTGTGTCATAAATCAGCACACACACCCCTGTAGCTCTCTGAAGGAAATTTGCTGTGATGTGGCCTTCAGTCTCCCTCTCACTTACAGCTCTGAAGCCCAACCCCCTCACTCCTCACTCACCTACCCCCACATCCCATCCCCAAACTAACAACCATGAATTATAGTAATCTTACCAGAGCTTTCCTCAATTCTGGTACATAAGCTAGGACAAACGAAATCATGCACTGTGAAACTTGGTCACCTACCTGAAAACCTATAAAAGTCAGAAACCCGCTTTATTGTCTAGAATTGAAGCCCACTTCAAGTGCCACTCCCATCTGCTGCAGCGCAATGTTTCTCATATTAGAGCCCAATTATTGTGGTCCACGAATCTCTTTCTCTTCATAAAGTTCAGCTGAAGGATAATAACATGATGTCAGTTCTTTTCTATGACCTGCTTTTTTTTTTTTTTTTTTTTTTTTTTTCTGACGAAAACTAGTCACCCAGAAAGAGAAAAACACAATGGCCACAGTGGTAGAACTGAAACCTATAAGGGAACAGAATGAGGACGTCCTAGGGGACAAGAAGACTCCTCCCCCCAAAGGTAGGTTGTGCACAGTTGCTTGTCCACTGGCTTTATGGTACAGTCCTTTCTGTAATGTATTCACAGGAAACAGTGAATTTATAACTTTTAAGTTTTTGATCCATTTTGAAATGCAGTAACATTAAGGCACATTCCACAGTTATGCAAAAGAAGGAAACTCCACAGTTACTTTCTCATCTTTATCCATATGAGTTTACCCTCCATAATTGTTACCAAAGCTGTCGGCACACAGCTTTACATCCTATTCCTTTAATATCTGCAGGGGGTACTGCAAGCAAACCACACTACTTGATTAAAGCAACAAATTATATAAATGTCCAAAAATCAAGAAACGTAACATTTTTGTAAGCTTAATTCACCCACTATAATTTTTCATCACTAGAAGCCTAATATGCTACACATGGCACCACAGAGCCAGGTCACCCTCTATAATTTTTTACTGCATTTGTTCTCTATGATTTTTATGTAACTCTATACTGTATTTTAACTTACTAACATATTTTTCAGTATTGCTTTATAATATTAACAAAGCCTATTCTTTTCAAGTTTTTTTTTTTTAATCCTTTAAAGCTAGCACACCATGTAATGGGTCTCACTATGGCATCTTCATCCACATCTCATTATACTTTGCTTTTCTTCCTCCTCTCTAGCCACCCATGTGCTCCCTGCCCACCTGGGACTCTTTCCCTTCCTTCCCTCAGATGGAATGCTGATGGTGTGAAAGCAGAAAGGACTACTGTCTGGAGGAAGGAAGGGAACAGAATGTTATATGCTTAACACATTCCAACAGTCCAATTTTCACACTTACTTACCTGAGAAGCCCTCCGGTGGCTGCCGTTTAAGCTGCGCCCTTTGGCTTTGATCTTAGTTATTATCTACATGTGAAATGCATATGTTACTTGGCTATTATATGTACTTGGACTATACATGAGATCTATTAAGTTATATGTCTTAGGGCAAAATAACACAGCACTTGGGTAATCATATTTGGATTATTTCCTTAGGTTTTTGAAATGAAAATGATAATTTTGAGACAAAAATCTATGACTATTTTGCTTCCAGAAAAATAGAGGCTTTGGTTTTCCGTCTCAATACAGATGAAAATATGTGGAGGATTGTGAGAAAAAGAGGAAGTGATTTGTCTTATGGCATGATGGCAACCTTCAAATGGCTCCACAAAAAAAAAAAAAAAAAAAAAAAATTGGCAGCAGGGAGCCATTGTGGATGGAGATTAAGAAAAAAAAAATCCAGACATAAGACATAGCTAGGTAGATAGGTAGAACAGCCCCAAACCAAAAGAGAGAAGTTGGGTGAGTGGCTAGTGTCTCTTAAGTGCAAAAGCAGAAGTATGTTCCAGGTAGACTGGATAAAGGGATTAAAAAAATAAAGGAAACTATAAGTAGGGTATATAAACTAGCAACACACACACACATCCTGCCCAAATATATATACATACATATATATACATACATATATATACATACATATATATATATATATATATATATATATATATATATAAGAAAACTACAAAAACTACAGAGTGTTTGGGAAAATGGAATTGCTATCAAGAAGAAACAACAACAAAACACCTTTGGAAATTTTGGGGGATTGTCAAAGCTCAGAGATCAAGAGTTTATTTTTTATTTGTTAATTGGCTTAAATTTGAGTTGCTCATCAGTTGATCAATTAACTTTTAGTAAATGAAAATAGAGAAATGGTGCTGGACTGTTAGGAGTAAGGTTTTTCCGCCAGCCCGGACCCACCGCGGCACCAGCCCCAATTAACACACAGAGACTCTGTATTTGATATAATGCTGTTGGCCAGGTACTAGTTTCTTATCGGCTAGCTCTGTCTTAAGTATTAACCCATTTCTGTTAATCTAAGTATTTCCACGTGGTCTCATCTTACCAGAGAGTGAGGCTGGCATCTGTTCTCCCCAGTCTCTCCATGTTGACTCTTCCTCACTCCTTCCTCGAATCCTCCTTGTCTCCTTGTCCTGCCTATCTTGCTTTCCTATTGGCCAACAGTGCTTTATTCATTAACCAGTATGAGAAACATATTTACAGAATGACATCTCCCATCACTGGACATGGTAGTGAATACCCAGCATCCAATACCTGCAGAGGCTGAGGCAGGAACACCATGAAACTAGCCTGGGCTCTCCAACAAGACCCCATCACAATAAACAAATGCAAGCAGGGCAAAATAAAGCAAAATGTTTAAATGTAGCTTCAGTGTCAAAAATTGTAGTATTGCCTCATCCCCTACTTTTTTCTTTTATTTAAATGAGAAACATGACTCCAACATTATCTTTCTCTACAACAGGGTACTTTAGTGCTTTTTCATTCCATGCCACATCCCTAGTGTGTATGTGTGTGTCCGCGCGCACGCGCGCAAGCACACACACACACACACACACACACACACTCTATTCTGGTATCATTGCATAGAGTTGTTTTTTTGTTTTGTTTTGTTTTGTTTTGTTTTTGTTTTTATTTTTGGGTTTTTTTTTAATTTAAAAAAGACAGGGTTTCTCTGTGCCTTTGGAGGCTGTCCTAGCACTTGCTCTGTAGGCCAGGCAGGCCTTGAACTCATAGAGATCCACCTGCCCCTGCCTCCTGATTAAAGGCATGCACCACCAACTCCCAGCTCATTGCAAAGATTTTGCTGTTGTTTTATATTGTCTCAGTAAAATTTCAGTGCTTTAAAATGCAAATGTTAGTCAGTGCTTACCACCCCTCCTTTGTTCTAGTTTTATATCTGCTATTATGATAAAATACTCTGATCAAGAGCAACTTAGTAGGGGGGGGAGGTTTATTTTAGCTTACGGGTTACAGTCTACCATTGAGGGACATCAAGGCAGGGACTTAAAGACAAGTGTGCTTGCTATTCATCTCAGTACTTTCTTTAATGAAGGAACTCACTCTGTCAAGAAGTACATCAGGAACCATGAAAGAATGTTGCATGCTGACTCACCCTCTGGCACATGTATAACTAGCTTTCTTACATAGCCCAGAACCACCTGCCCAGGAAATGGTGCCACCCATAGTGGGCTGGAACCTCCTACATCAATTGAAAATCAAGATTTACCCAATAGCTAGTCTGATCTAGGCAATCCCTCAATTGAGACTTCCTTCTCAGGTGACTCTAGGCTGCTACAACTAGTTTTCCCAGCCACGGCTGTTTTAGCCAAAGTCTATCCAACATGGCTGGGGTACATTTACCACCAGCACTGAGAGCTGTGCTCACTGGCTTGGTCTAGGCTGTCATTCAGTAGCATGCTGTTGGCTTGGATATGTGGTCACTGCCATTGTCAGCTCTCATACACACCACTAAGTTGTTAGCAGGGTTTGCCGCTTAATGCCAAGTTAGGAAACCTCCCTTAAAGGAGTCATGAAAATCTCTGCTTGTCTCTAGCAAAACAGAGTCCCTCCGAGAGAAATGCTGCTACTAAGAAGCCTTGTTTGTCTCTGTTCTTTTGTTTCTAAAACCCATTTTTAAGCTTTTGTCAAATTTTAAGTGAAAGTTCTCAGGCCCCACAATGGTTGCCATTTTGTTATGAGTAGTTTTCCCACCAGCCTGGTCCCACAGCCTCAAATAATACACAGAGATGATGTATTAGATATAAAGCTGTTGGCCTGTTACTAGTGTTCCTATCAATCTAAGTATTTCCATGTGGTCTTATCTTATTGCAGAGAGGATCTGGACCTCTTCCTCTCTCAAGCTTCTCTACATCTTGAATCTCCTACTACATCTCCCAGAATCCGTTTTGTCTCTGAGTCCCACCTATCTTTCCTTCCTGTTTGCCAACAGAGCTTTATTCATTAACCAATAAGAGAAACATGTTTACAAAATGACATCTCCCATGTATCAAGTTGACAGTTAAAGGTAAGGACAGCCTTTGAAAAAAATCTTTTGTAGCCAAATAGTACATTCAAGTAACCTAAATTGATGCCACCCTGTAATCCCTGCAGGAAATAACACCCATTTACTATCTCATCATCCTATGGTAAGAGTTGGGGGTACAGAGCCCTAGGCAGCCTGGCTTAACATCTTCTCTGGGTCTCATCCTGTCTCATTCCTTCAATGGCCCCCACTTCACTCAAAATAAAAGCCACAGTACCTTGGACAGTCCATGAAATCTTTAAGACCTGGTTCTGTTTTGGCTCTGTCACACTCAGTTGGTGCTGGCTCTTTGAACACTCACTGCAGGCACTCTTCTTCCACCACAGGGCATTTCCACTTTCCCAAGTGTGCCTTTGCCTCAGCTGTCTGCATGACCAAAACTCTCAGGCATGTCCCTGGGATTCTATCAGATGGTTTGATTTTCTGCACAGCACTGACGCCCTCTAAGACAGACTTACTGTTTCACCTTTACATATTCTGCTCTCTGGAAAGTGAGGTTCACTAGCTGAGTGTTGCTACCATACATGGAGAGTGATCAATAGGTGTGTGTTCCATAAGAGCTGACGATACAAACTAGACTGGAGAGCATGGTTTACGAGAGTGATCTGTCACACTCCTATCCAGTTCCCTGAAGTAAACTAACTGACTTGTTCAGCCACAGAATGATCTGGGTAAATTAGGCTTCCCCAAGAGACAGACATTCTGCTAAGGTACCCATGCAGAACACTGGGAGCTCTTTGACACCCTGAGAAGATGCTGAGCTCTGTATGGCCAGCTGACTTACCATAGTTGTTACCTAAACTCTACTTCTTCTGGGAAATAAAGAAAGGAGTGGAGCATGTTCTGGAATTCCCTTTGCTGAAGTCCGTCTGTAAAGGATACCTGTGGCCAGGCAAACACAGCTTCCTGAATTCATATGATCTTCTTACTGTGTCAGGTCTGCCTAAAGTGCACTGCCAGGACACCTACACGGTGCCAGACTGCAAGGCTTTCCCAGAAGCAATAGAAAGCTGCCTTAAGAGCTCAGGAAGCAATCTAGACAATGTTCCTCAGAGATCCATTTTTGAACCATTCTCTCATGTCACTCACAGGTGCATGTTACCTGTGTTTTCAGTACTTTGGACAGTGCAGCCGGGCTTTGGGAAAAGGGAGATGGATTTCCCTGGAGCCATACACGCAATGATCGTTCCAACATTAAGCTCACTTCTTTTTTCAGTATGGCTTTATTACGGGTTTTCAGCATTTGAGGGTGTCAATTTTCCTAATGAAGAAACTGAGGGGATAGGACTTAAATCTTAAAACTTGATTCCTTTTTAAAAATTTTACATTTTAAATGAAAGTATATCTTCAACTTCTTAAAACTTTAAATTTTATCTGTATACATCAGGCATGATTTATTATAAACATTGCACTTGTGTAAGATAAATAATATATGGCATATCACTAGTTATACATACTATATGCATATGCATGTAATTTTTCATATATTAAGTATTGTATGTTATATGTTTAACTTTTAATGTAAGTTTTACTCTTACTTACTATGAATCATTTCATCAGCTCTAAAACTGAATGACTTAGGAATGGGAAAGGCAAAATTACAGGAAAGACAGAAAGCCGCAAAGGAAGCCAGGCTCTGTAAATGTGAAGTATAAAATGTTCCTTGACTCAATGCACTTACCAGCTGCTTTTGAATCTCCTTTTCCTGACTCCAATAGAAACAGAAGGGTCATTTAAGTCATCAGATCATCATTAGTTACATATTCAGTAGGCCATATTTAGCTGGCCTCAAAAGGCAGCCAATGATGACCAAACTCCTATTCCTCCTGCCTCCACCTCCCAAGTGCTGGGATTACAGGCTTACACCACCAAGCTAAGATTTCTATTATATCTTGTGAAAAAATAATGCTAGCTCAATAAAGCAAGTCATGATGTGATGTCCTGTTTCCAGTCCCGAGTTTGTGTTCCATGCGCTACGGAATAGCCCTGCTCACACATTTCAGCAACTTCACATTGATAGCACAGAATTCCATCGTAAGCATCACTATGGTAGCCATGGTCAACAACACAGACTACCAACCTCACCTCAATAGCTCCACCGAAGTGCTTCCCACCGATTTAAATGGTGACCAACATGAAGCCGCAAAGCATCTTTCTCCAAAGGTAGGCAACACAGAATTGAAGTTTGTGCTTCTCTCTCTCTCTCTCTCTCTCTCTCTCTCTCTCTCTCTCTCTCTCTCTCTCTGTGTGTGTGTGTGTGTGTGTGTATGTGTAGCATTGCACACATGTGCATGCATGTATGTGAAACTCAGAGGTCTAATTTGGGTGTCATAACTCAGAAGCCATCTACCTTGTATCATGAGACAAGATATTCCACTGGGCTCTGAGACTTGCATGTTAGGCTGTGCTAATTGCCCAGGGAGTCCCAGGGATTTTCATGTTTCTGCCTCCCCAGTGGTGGGATTGCAAGCCAAAATGCTAGGCTTTTAATGTGAGTTCTGAGGATTAAAATGAGCTTGTTATGCTTGCACAGCAAGCACTTTACCAACTGAGCCATCTTTCCAGACCCTATGCTCAATTTTCTGTTATTCATTTTTATATTTCTTTTTGAAGAGTTTATATGTTCAAACCCCCATTTTGTACTTCTGGAAACAGAATTCATGGCCTCACACATTATAGACTAATTGCCCTACAGCTGAGCTACTTTCCTGCTCTCTCCCTTTTCTCTTTTCCATTTTAGAAAAGTTTCTGATTAAATTGCCCATGCAGGCCTTGAGCTCACTTTGTAGTCCAGGCCAGCCTTGAACTTTTGTCCCTCCTGCCTCAGCCCCTTGAGTAGCTGGTATTATAAATCTATGCAACCAGGTCCAGCTCCGTTCAAAAATTTTAATTGAGAAAATTCAGATCTAAGGACGCTTCTTACACTAGGTAATACCTTCCAGTGTGTGGCTCATAACAGCATTTTGTGCTTCCCAAAGGCCCCCGTGTATAACTGGAGTCCTCAAACCCAAGGATTCATCTTCAGTTCTGCCCAGTATGGCATGATGCTGATGCAGGGTCCCGCTGGATTCTTGGCTGGGAAAATAGGAACTAAGAAAGTGGTCGGAATTGCTCTGCTCGCATCTTCACTGCTCACTCTCTGCATCCCAGTGGCTACCAGTCTTGGACTAGGTTTTCTCCTGGCAACTAGAGCAATCCAAGGCTTAATCCAGGTACAAAGTATTTTGAGTATATCCTTTCTTTTTTCTTTTTCTTCTCCTTCCTTCCTTTCTTTATTTTTTTAAATTTAGAGCAGGCTGTCCTTAAACTCAGAGAGATCCACCACCTGCCTCTGCCTCTTGAGTTTTGGGATTAAATAAATGTGTCACCACACCCAGCCATAGATGCTAAGTACTTTCAAACTCTGAACTGGCTATGGATTTCTATATGACATCATATCAAAATCTCTAACCATTCATATTTCAGGGCACTGGATATGGGGGTCAGTTTGCACTCTGGCAGAGATGGGCTCCTCCAAATGAACGCAGCAGACTCTGTAGCATTGCTCTATCAGGTACAGATGGGTTCCTGGCAACCCAACACTTCCTACTGAGCTCCTCAGTAAATTTTCTATTGAACAGTTCTTTATCTTTTACTCGATGTTAATGAAGGGTTTATACAAATTAAGGAAACTAACATGACTTATTTTGCCTGTGTTGTAGTGTGTGTCATCACTTTGCTTATGGTGTGATTTCTGATATTTAAAACTATTTTTTATGTCTCTAAATTGATCACTTTTATTTTGTGTAATTTAATTTCAACTCACTGACAGAAACATTGTAAAAGCAATTGTCCATATTTTTAAATGAATTTGCACAGTTTAGTTTTTATATACCATTTCCTGACAGTCATATGAAGCTCATATTTGCATTCAGTGTAACATATGGATTCAACTTAATAATTTTTGGAATTGCTCTAAATTATTCTGAGAAAATCTTTATTTTTAAAAGTTTTGATTACATTTATTTACTTACCATGAGTGCATGTCACAACACATGTTGGGAGTCAAAGAACAGTTACCAGGAGTCAAATTTCCCCTTTTACCATGTGGGTTCTGGGAATCGAATTCATGTTATCAAGCTTTACTCACTGAACCATCTTACCAATTCCTGAAAATAGTTTTCTGGAAATAAATTGTCAGTGCCCATAAAGAACATTCTGGAGGCAGAAGCCCACCTAATTTACAGTAGAGAAGTGGAGAATAGAAGTGCTATAAATTAATAGACCACTGTCAAGGCTAGCACTGGCTAAGAAAAGGGTAGTTATGCAGGTAATCTATGTGTTCAAAGACAGTCAAGAGCTCATCAAGTCCAAAGCCACCAAATATTTTAGAGGAGTCTGTTAACAGCAGACCTCTAAAGCCCCCTCAGAAATCCAGCATGGTAGTTTCCAGTGTGGGTCACCCAGGCATTTATGTTAGCTGACAGAAAGGAAGCATCCAGTTTAAACAAAGGAAATTCACCTGAGGTACCCAACTGTGAGAGGGTCTCAAATCCCAGGAGAAACCAGAGACTAACAAGCATAAGAACGTGGGCAGTGGGCATTGCAGCTGTAGGATTAACTCAGACAACAGGGGATGAAATGCCTGAATGAAAAGGGGATGTGATAACTAATCCGTGTATTCCTATCTCAGAAGGCTGAGACAGGAGGATTGTCTCAAAAGCCAGCCTGGGCTATGCAGTGGGTTACAAGCCCTTGTCTCGATAAAACAAACATAAAACAAACAAACAATTTTTTTTTCAAATTTATAATAAAGACAGTGAACTTGAAGGCACAGTAACTCAATTTTCCTTCACTTGCTGGTCTTTAGGGACTGAGGAACCAAAATAAATCAACTGACAACATTTAGGGGGTATTCAGGAGCCCACAAACGGCAAGTTCCATAGGCTTCCTTGTCTTTGGTGTTGAGGAACTACTTAGGAACTCTGAGAAGAAGTTCTTTTTTAATTTTAGAAAACATAGGGAACCTCCTGGTTTTCTGACAATGGCATAGAGAGAGCAGATGGGAAATTCCATTCAAACAACGTGTTGACCACCCTCTAGTGAAGGCCATACATCTGAGAGTATACAGGCAGCACAAATTGGACTTGATGGTTTAAGATTAATAGGGCATGGTTGTGTAGGTTGGGAAGAACAGAGAGATTTAGAAAGAACTAGGGAGGGGTAGATATGATCAAAATAGATTGCATGGCATTCTCAAAGAGCTAATAAAATGAGAGAAAACACAATCATAGGATGTTTACAATGTTTAACTCAATTTAAGGTTTTATGATGGACTGGATTCATAGCTATCCTGGGGGATTATAGGTGATCTGTGAGTTATAGGTTGGACATGCTTTCATAGGCTATGAAACTTACATATAAATAGGGAAGTTTGAAGCCACTAGTAGAGCTTTGGAGCAATGCAGGTCAAACAAAGCAAATAGCTCATTATTAAGGCTACTGAGTGATAGGAAGAAGGAAACATCTTATTAGCTTAATCCAGAGCTCAGGAAAAAGACAGGCTCTCAAACCAAATTGGATGCCATCATTGCACAATTTTCTAAGTTAATTTAAAACACAGAGTCAAAGAGCGAGAAGGAAGAGAAGGAGGAGGAGGAAAACGAGGAGGAGGAGAAGAATGAGAGAGAGAGAGAGAGAAAGAAGGGAATCGCAAGATACCTCATGAGAGATAGGAGGCAAACACATGGAAGGGTCATGTGTGTTCAGATGCCTAAATATTCTTTCTCTGTATTCTACGTCATCAACCTTCTCACTTCCTCACCAAGGGGCTGGTTATGAAAAACAGAGTTAGAGTTCAAGCAAGAATGTCCCCAGAAGAAAAACATCCTAGGCCAAAGGTACCTACTAGTTACATGGAAGACACAGGGAATGGTAGAGGAAGTCAACTAAAGATCTTGATAATTGCTGTTTCTTTGTTTTTGTTTTTGCTTTTTTTTTTTTTCTGGAGTACCTGGGCATAAAGGGCAGTATCATAGGATGGCTGGCCCAGGACTTCCCATATATTACATAAATACATGCTGATACATGGTCCCTTTATGTGTGTGTAGGGGGGCAATGTAAAATACTTATCAATGTACTTTAGCATAGGCTAAAGAAACTCTTTAAAGGTATCAGTCTCACCTTTAAAGTCACCCAGCCGGGGGCTGGGTGACTGGCCCCTGGCATCCTTCTCTCCCTCTCCCCTTTCCACTCCTTTCTCTTTTCCCTTCTCCTCCTATGTATTCTCTCTGCCTGGCATCCCCATGTATCCTCTGTCTACTGCCTAGCTATTGGCTAGTCAGTTCTTTGTAAGACCAATCAGGCATTATTATACCAAGTAGATATTTAACACAGCTTTACAGAGGTAAGCAATTGCAACATAAAATAATGCAACACATCTTTACAACATTAAACAAATGTTCCATAACATAAACAAATATAACACATTTCAAACTAATATTTTGCAACATTTCTCCCTTTTTGTCAAAATAAAAATGAAAGTTTTTAACTCTAATATAGTAAAACTATATCAACAACATTATCAAGTATGAATTACATTTACAATATCTTGTCTATTTGTATTTAAAAAATTCAGAAAATAATCCATTATCTATTTCAGTGATTCCAAAGTTTTTATACCTAATTTATATTCTATCATAGCTAAGGCAAACTATAATTATTTAGTCTTTAACTCCATTAAAGACTCTAGGAGGTTGTAATATAACCTAACAACAGATCCATCTGGATGCTTGGACAGTCATCCAAAGTTCCTCTGCAATGTTGGGGCATCTATCTTTGGTCTACAGGCCTAGAATATTGGGCAGACTTTGAAATCAAGTAGGAAATTTGAAAGGGTTTCCTGCCTTATATTGGCAAAGTTCATCAGTTGCTTTCCTTTGAGTCCTGAAGAATATCTGGTAGACTCCTCTGTGAAACAGGAATCTCAAAGGACTGTCCTGCCTTGTCTTGGCAAAGTTCAACAGCCTTTTTTCCTGTGTTCTACTTGACCCCTCTTTACAGCATACTGTTAGCAGTAAAGGCAAGATCAGTTTCTTGCTCAAATGGCCAGCCTTTTCACATTGAAAACAAACTCCATATAGAGTTTCTTTGATGCCCATCATCCTTTTATGAAGTAAATTGGTGCTGTTAGGAGCAGAAGTGTCTTATTGTCATGAAAAACCTTATATTATTAAACATCTTAAATACCATATTCTGTAAGTCCTTGAAGTGTTTGAAACCATCTGTTTAAAATATACCTGTTTAACCTTAAAAACACCTAATGTGACTACACATTTGATTATTATAGATTAACTACTAACCTCATTTTTAATTATACATCATTTTAAATGATCATTTTTAAACAAGCACAATATTCCAACCAAGAGTAGAAGCATAATACAGTATAACAAAAATAATTTTAAATCTGTTTCAATATGCCAAAATCCATGCCAGTTAAAAATATCTGAGATTAATGGTTGTCTTTTTATCCTATATTCCCTCAAATGATAACAAACACCCATAACCTACTAAATAACTAAAGATCACCCACTCCATCTCTTGGGAACGTGGGTGTCATCCTGTCTAGACTGCTTCCTGTTGCCTGTGGGAGAAATCATCTTAGAAGTCCCTGAGAAAGTTGAGATAATGGCTAAGTACTATGAAAACCAGCTGTAGTGTGTGTGTGTGTGTGTGTGTGTGTGTGTGTGTGTGTGTGTGTGTGTTTATCCTGTCAAGTTTTAGGAGGTCTCCCACATTAAACCTGATCCATATCAATGCTGAAGGAATCCATAGGCTCTTGTTTCCTATGAAATCAAAGCAAAAATTCTCCAAAGCAATGCATTTTTAAAGTTAAGACATTTTGAAATACCTAGGCTGGAATATTTCAGCAGTCTCTCTTTCAATCCCATGTCTCTTAGCAGCTGTCGTTTGCTCATCAGCAATCAAAAAATTCAAAATCAACACCATGTTCTATAGAATCTATACTCACTATGTATTTTCCATTATTATGTGGATTTTTCTTTTATATTACTTTTACTCTCTCTTTAAAGACTTTGCTTTATTATTTTTAGACTATTTCTTTCTATGGCTGTCTATATTTTTTCTCTTTTCTTTCTTAAGCCTAAACAAGGTAAACACACTGGAAACCTGTTTAGACATTCTTTCTGTCTGGACCTGTTTTACTGTGTCTCTATCCTTTTCTGACCACAGTTAGGACCTCCACCTTGGCATTAGTGCTGGCTCCACCCACTTCTTAGTTTGGTGAGAGCCAAGCCTAAGGCTCACTGCCTGCTCAGAGGTGCATTTGGCAGAGAATTGTGTTCAACCCACCAGATCTGGAGTGCCAGCAGTCTGAAGATTTACATTTGCTTGTGCTGTTTCTGTGATCTGGTGGCACTTCTTCTCCATGTTCATCTTCCAGCCTACCTTCTTTCTGTCTTTCTACAGGAATGATATTGGGAACCTTTGCTGTCCTCCTTGTGGGTGGCGTCATTATTGAAGCCCTTGGATGGCCTTTTGTCTTCTATATCTTTGGTAAGCTGCTGGCTTCAAAGATACTCAGTAATGTTCTTCTAAGGATGTGTATCTGTGTGTTCTTTTCTGAAGGAAGAGAGTCAAAATATAAAAATGTTAAGGAAACAAAATATCACAATATAAAGAAATAACTTTTGCTAGCTAACATGTGGAAATCCTCTGGCTACATAAAAAGCACTACACTTCTGCCATAAGGCTCAGCCATCGTGGTTTCACTGTGCCTTTCAGGGAAGGAGGGAAAGGGCTACAGAGCACTGCTTTCTAAGAGACAGAAGAATGCAGTCCAGGGAGTTAAGTCTAGCTATGGAGTTTGTCTGTGGCTAAACATAACAAGGGGGCAAGGTCCTGGGCAAGTCTCGTGTTTCCCATAGAAAAGAAAATATCAAACAGGGTAATTCATGGTAACTTCACTATTGGCCCCAAGACTTCTGTTTTGCTAGAAACCAAGAGAGTACTGCTTCACCTACATGGAAAGTTTAAAACCAGTCTGCGCTAGTCAAAACAGTGTTCTGTAGAGCAGGAGTAGGATAATAAAACAAAAACCTTGAAGCAATATTATCCTGGTAACCTAGGCAAACTGGTGAACTCCAGAGTCATTTAGACATCACTGTCTAAAAGAAATAAAGGAAGACAACCCACGCCCCAACAACAGACCTGCATATAAAGTCTAGAAAATTTATTTTTTTTAGAAGAAAAAGGGGAAAATTCTTTGTTCTTTAATTAGCCAAACAATTCCAATATGACACCAAATGAATGAGCCATAGATAAAATTGATGTGTTGGATATAAAGAGTTTAAAAAAATCTTCAAAAGGCATTGCTAAGATAATAACATGACAGACTGATTCAAAGAGAAAGTATCTACAATACAATTATACGTTCCTCTAAAATTTATAATTTTCAAAACTCAATGAGAATACAAACATTTAATTGAAAATGAGCAGAAACATTTCACCATATATATATGGAAAGAGAGAAAGGGGGAGAGAGAGAGAGAAAGAACATCTACAATCAGATACTTAACCAACAACTTTTAGTCACTGGGGCATGAGTATCAAAATTACAATGGGATATCTCCATGTACCTATTAAAATGGCTAATACTGAAAATATTGACACTAAGTGTTTTGCTTTTCCTAAGGTCTGTGACGCCTTTCCCATACACAAACAAACAAACAAACAAAAAAATGTATAAAACAGCTTGTTTGATAATTGGGAAGGGTTCAGAAGGAGCTTTGGCAATGACTTACCCTAGAAAATGCCCCAACATGAGAACAAGCCATTCAATATGCCTAAAAGACTCTAAGGCAGCCCAGCACAAAGATACCTACTCATCCATAATTATTGCTGCACTATTCACAGTATCCCAGGCATGGAACCAGCCTAGCTGGCCAGGAACAGAGAACAGATAAAGGAAATGTGGTACAGAGCCACAGTGGGATTTGCTTCAGCCAGAAATAAGATTGAAATTATGTCATTTTTTCTGGAAAATGGATGGAACTGGAGATCATAATAGTAAGAGAAATAAGTTAAATGCAGAAAACTGTAGATGGAAGTTTCTGTTCCACCCAGTCCTGCAGCCATTTAGTCCCAAATAAACACAGAGGCTGATATTAATTATAAACTGTTTGGCCAATGGCTTAGGCTTCTTATTGGCTACCTCTTTCTTAATTATTAATCCATTTCTATTAAGCTGTGTGTCTACACAAGCTCTTAGCTTACCAGGTGATGCCTGGACCTCTTCTTGCTTTCTTGGCAGCTATGGAGGATTTTTTTCTCAACTCACTCTCTGCATTCCTGTTCCCAGAATTCTCCTTGTCTGGTAGTCCCAGACTGGCTATATCCTGCATGTCCATTGGCCAAAACAGCTTTGTTCATCAACCATTAAAAGAAACATATATTCACAGCATACAGAAGGGCATCCCCTATCATCTCATCTACAGAAAACAATCCACATATTTTCTCTGAATTGTGGAAACTAAATTTTTTCATAAAGCATATCTACATGCATACATACAAACATATATACAGAGATTGGTCATAACATACACATACATACATAAAAGCAGACAGGAAGCTGAGGAAGGAGATCAGTAACTGATAGGAGGGGGAGGGAGAGAATGGCATGATCAAAATATATATTTAAAAGGAATTATTAAAAACCAACATTATGTACAATGACTATTATACCAATTTTAAAAAATGTGAAATCCATATAAACTTCAGGGTTTAATAGTAAGGAGTCAAGAAAGTGTTGACAGATGTTCTAAGATGTCAACAATGGAGACACAGGACAAGAGGTGTGTGGCAATCCAAGGCTATCTTTGCAACATTTAAACAAACCATAATTTAAAGCCTCCTTTAATGAGCTCTCTCATGAACTCTCCCCTCAATTTCAGGAGCCGTTGGCTGTGCCTGCTGCCTTCTCTGGTTCATTCTGGTTTATGACGACCCTTTCTCTCACCCGTGGATAAGCGATCCAGAAAAGGAATATATCTTATCCTCTCTGCACCAACAGGTACTCATAAATATTCCAGACTCTGCAGAAACCTTGTGTCCACATCTGGGCTCCTAAGAGTGGCTGAGCCTTTGAGCCTCATGTTGATCTTACTGCTTAGACCAATGAATTTGTTTTCAGGTCAGCTCAGAAAAGCAGTCACTTCCCATCAAAGCCATGCTCAGATCTGTGCCACTCTGGTCCATGTGTCTTTGCACTATGACCCACCAGTGGCTTGTTAACACCTTTATAGTATATACCCCAACTTACATCAGTTCTGTGTTCAAAGTTAACATCAGAGATGTGAGTACATTTCACTCTATTTCTCCCTCATGTATGCATGATCCCTCAGCTGCTCAACTGTCACAAATCATTCTACCTGCGGGCCATTAACTCTCATTACCCAAAATAATCTGATCTTTCAAACCAATGACAGGGGGTACCCCCAAGGGGCAGGTGGTTTCAGAGTGTGGGGCAATTGTTAGGGAATTACCAACAAGTTTTTTCACTAACTTAATTTATGGTCATTCACTCACTCTTCGCCTCAGAATGGGTTCCTGTCTTCTCTTCCCTTTATTGTTGCCTGGGCTGTTGGTATCCTTGGAGGCCAGCTGGCAGATTTTCTTCTGAGAAAGAATTTTAGGCTCGTAACTGTGAGGAAAGTCATCACAATTTTAGGTAAGAACTGGGCATGGGAGTTGAATGACTTGTAGTATTCAACAGTTATCTCACTCTTGGATTTGTCTGTTCCACATTCCCTAGGAAATATTCCTCCAGCAGCCCTCATTGTGGCTCTCCCTTATGTCCAGTCCAGCTATATCACAACAATTACATTTCTGACACTTTCCTGTGGAATAAGTCCTCTATGTCAGTCAGGAGTCTATATCAACGCTTTAGATATTGCCCCAAGGTAGGACACTTCCATCTACCCTTAGTTTCACATTTTCTTTGAGGGATGGGGGGGGGTGATCTATAGTGTTCCGGGGTCTCAGCGTATGGAAAACAATAAATCATAAGCATGGACCATAGATGGGCCTATGGTGTGTTGGGTGGAGGGATTTGGACTTGTCATATCACCTCTCAGTGAATATACATAGCCCAAGTCCTTTCTGATGTAATCACATGGTGGATTTACACATAACGTGGGCTGAACCATAACTGTTAAGTATGTCTGCATTTGGCTTAGGACATTGCTGTCACCCACAGGTATGCCAGCCTTCTCATGGGTTCATCAAGAGGATTGGCACATTCATCAGCTGTGCTGGTTCCCATTGTTGGTGGCTTTTTCCTCAACCAGGTAGTTTCCATGCTAAGATAAACATTTGGTGGCTTTTTCCTCAACCAGGTAGTTTCCATGCTAAGATAAACATTTACAATATGAAAGGGAACCAAACAACTTCAACTTCATAGGTGTCTCAGAATAAGGTTTCCATGTTGACCTACCCAACCACCTATGGCTGAATTTTCATTTGTATGAATAACCATACACAGGGAAAGGAGAGGAGGGTAAGATGTTTAAGTGTCTGATGAATGCTGGTATTATGACAAGCACTTTTATTTTTAATTCAGACAGGGCTTCCCTGGCTTCCCTCAAACTCACAGAGGTCCACCTGCCTCTGCCTCTTGAGTGCTAGGTTTAAAGGCATGCACCATCAATACCTGGCTATGACAAACATTTTATACATAACAATCTTGTTTGGCTGTTCATTCTCACATCAGTATAACAATTAATACTATCACCCTCATCTCCTAATGCTTAAACTGAAAGTCTGGTAAAATGAGTCTTTCTGATCTGAAGAAATAGCTCTGACCCCCAGTATCTTTTCTCCACATTGAGACACTGATGGAAAAATCTTAGAACCAGTTTAAGCATAGCATTTGTAGGCAAGGTTGGGCAACAAAGAATATGTGTTGACACTTTGGTAATAATGACAAACATAGATCTATAGGTCAATCATGAGTATCTTCAAATCTCTCTTATGTAAAACATTTTGAGTATATTTGGGATTTCCTTTCTCTAAGTACCAAGACACTTATAGGAAATGAATCCCAGCATGAAAAACCCCTGGAGACTGTCATCTGAATTAGTTTTGTAGGAAAAAGAGATAAGAGAAGTAATTTGTATTTGGGGTCTTGTGTTCCCAGTACTCTGAACTCGGGTGGAGAAATTTCTTTTTCTTATTGTTTGCCATTAACCAATTTGGCTTAATCATCTACCTCGTGTTTGGGAAAGCAGATGTCCAAGAATGGGCTAAAGAGAGGACGCTCACTCGTTTGTGAAGGTAAAAAGACATGATTTCAGTAGAGGTACAGTCTCAGAAGCAGAACTTCAAATTGTTAACTTCCTGTCATTTTCCTTCCTCAGCTGTCCTACCTGTAAAAACAATCATTGCACATGCTGATTCCTATTTGGTAAGACTTCCATCAAAAGTGACATCAGGGTTTTCTCCACTTTCGTTCAGACTTCCTGTGAAGAAAATATAAGATGAATAAAAAGTCAAGTAAAGTGATAGCAAAGGACCAGGTTGTCATCTTTTAACTGAGAATGTGGCTACTGACTGACATGGTAGTTTTACAGTTTTTAAAGACAAGAAGAAATGGTTTTGAACCCTAGGTCCAGAGTGGTAATGTTAGTACAGCAATTTTTTATTTTCTCTTTGTCAGATTTAATATTAATTTCTTTTTGTGCCTATGGTACTGGAAGTAGAGTAAGCATTCAACCACTGGCTTATGCTCATAGCCTGTAGTTTCTGTTTGCTGGGTTGCTTTTGCTGCCACATCTGTTCCATTCTTGTTTGCTGTGCTCAGGCTACTGGAAGGTGAATTACATGGCCTGTACCCCACACTCTCTTGTCTACCAGCTTTGGCTAGAGTTTTGATAGAGAAAGGAAAATGTTGTCTGAGGTACCCTAGTCCTAGCAGGAAAACCTCTACATGTGTTCTGGTAATTTCTCCCTCTGTCCATTTGGTCTTTTTTTTTTTTTTTTTTTTTTTTTTTTTTTTGTCTTTGTTTGTGCTAGCTCTAATTCTCTCTAGAGCCCTTTGTGGTTTTCTTGCCCTCTGCCTGACCCTGTGCAAATTATCTCTTTTCACACTGTCCTGATCCTGCCCTGTGTGGTTCTTATCTATCCTTAATTAAGATCTGCCTAATTAAGTGGTTAAATCACTTACAGGGCCCAAAAGTAAAACTGGCATAGTGTTGTTCGTAAAGTAATTATTTGTAGGTATCAGCAGGTCAGACCAAGTTCAGAGGCCCAGGACAGCATTGGGGACTGTCCCCCATTCATGACCTCTACTGTCTGAGACAGACATTACTGTTGTCAAGTCATTTCCCACAGAGGCAGTGTAAAACATTCTTAGTGCAGATCAGGGTAAGGTTAGAGGGACCTAACATGACCAAACACAGCAATGGCTGTGATCTTGATATAAATTCCAATGTTTGTTGGTGCACTAGAATAAGTTAAATACACTTTTCCTTCTAATGTGCCTGGCAAACACTGTTTTACATACAGTACTAGAGGGACACACATGGGACACAGATGAAGGTTTCCAATCCCATGCTGAAAGACATAGGGAAGGTTTCTTCCACCAGTCAATTCTTGGGCTAGATATCCAAAGGGAATGTCTATGGTCAGATTTCCCAAACCTGAGTCCAATTTCAACAAAAGCATAAAAACAAGAAACAGGGTACATTGTGAAGGAAGTCCCCATCTGCATATTCAGTTAGGACACAGCACACACTTAGAGGAATGTGTTTGGTGAAAGTATGCCATGCTCACATGCCATAGGAGAGAGTTTGAATATATCTTATAAACAGTAAAGTAGGACTCAAAACAATAGTTACATGGGCAAATTTTGCTAGATTGAGCTTTCTCCTAAATTTCAGGATTATGATGACTAACCAAATAATCATCTGAATATTGGTCTTTGCAGTAGTTTTGAGACTAGAATAAGGCAGGGCAAGCTGATATGAAGAGAAGAGGGAAACAAGTTTGTGTGGAAGGATTTGAGCAGTCTACTATTTAATTGGGTGGATGCTAGAGAAGACAGAGGGAAGTGAGAACAGAGAACACAGGAAGACGAGCTCTGTTCAGAGGAGACATAACAAGCTGGCTGGCATATGTTGAGTTAGCAGTGATGGTGTGTCAGTTTTCTGCCTTGACAAACTGCCATCAATCAAGCAACTTAGACAATAGCGACTATTATCTCAGTTCAGAAATTAAAGCATTGACAAGGTTGGTTCTATAACGACTGTGAAAGAGGACCTGTTCTCTGCTTTTATTTTAGTTTCTTTCCAGTGTCAGGAATCCTTTGGCTTAGATACTGCCTTCTCAGGTTACAGGAGTTTTAAGATAAAAGCCCTGCTTTCCAGGAGTCTCAAAGGACTAGACTCCATCATTTGTCACACATGCCAATCAAAAAAATTACTGAAAGAAAGGAGATTAAGTTGACATAGCCACACTGGGAAGCAGTGTTCTTAAGTCTGTCTTCAAGGTGCCTGGGTTCTACTGGTCATTGTCTAAATTCTGGTCTTCATCTCGAGTTCTGGAGAAGATGGCATTGCTGTTACCACTTGAGGGAAGTATCTGGGTCTCATGGAATGATGACACCTGCTCCAGGGTGCAGCCTCACCACCTGAGTAACTGGTATTATCCTCAGTTGGGAGCAGGTGCTCTGTCCTACAAGGTGTAATTTGGGTCTTTTGTCATAAAGATGTTTATTGTCAGTGCTGTAATCCTGGAGTTCAATGTAACTACAGAAGAGAATGACTGTCAATAATTAGGTAACTACCACTATAGAACAGCATAACCAAAAGCAACTTGGGGAGAAAAGGATTTATTTTGTTTTACAACTCTCAAGTAACACTCCATCACCAAGAAAAGTTGGTGCAGAAACTCGAGGCAAAAACTGAAGAAGAAGCCATGGAGGAGTGCTGCTTACTACTGGCTTGCTCTCTATGGGTTTACGCATGATGCTTTCTTATACTACCCAAGACCACCTGACCAAGGTGGCACCATCCCCAGTGGTCTGGATCCTCCAACATCAGTCATTCATCAAGAAAATACCATATAAGACTTCTCTCCCTGGCCATCTGATGTAAGCATTTTCTCATTTGAAGTTCCTCTTTCCAAATACCTCTTGCTTACAGCACGTTTGACAAAATAAACCAACCAGGACTATGACTAAGAAAGCAAATAATTAGAGAGGCAAAATCTGTCAGTCAGAAAGTGACTAACATACCTCTTTCACCCCCAGACTTCACATCATGCTCCCTCTGTGTGTCTGTTTGTCTGTCTGTTTTTTCCGTTTTTATGAGGGTGCTGGTCCTATTGGATGGCATTCCACTCTAATAGTCTCATTTTAATTATCACTTGCAAATTCCCTGGGGCTTTATGCTGGATAAAAAAAAAAAAAAAAAAAAAAAAACACATTTGAGGCTCTCAGCTATCCCCACTTATTTTTAAACGGCCTACCTACTATTTCCACCAACACATTTAAATGTGTCCTGATCTACAACTCATTTGTTCTGTTTCTACAATAACTTAACAAAACTGCTTTCACATTAGAACACAGAGCTTTGGGTAACTTAAATCTATGTTGCCAGGCCATGGTCACTCATATTTGGATCCAGAATAAAGTATCTTTTATCCTCTTTGAGCTTAGTGTTGTGATTTTTATATCAATAAAGGGAACACTAAAAGGGAAGTTGAGCGAGCAACAGAAATACTTCCATCAAGTTTGGTAGGAAAAAAGGTTTGGAAATATAGAAGTGGGGATGTTGGATAAAGGACTAAGAGAGGAGGAAGCAGCCCTTAGGGAGACTTTGAAGAACAGTGGTGGAATATATGAAAGATGATTCAAAAGCTAGAAGCACACAGCAAAGGCTCTGAGGCAGGGGACTGCCTTAATCTAAGTAAAACATTTTTAAAATACGTAAATTTTCAAAAGCAAAGGATCTCTTTCTTCAAAAAAGGCCTACTCACAATAGTTGTTAAACCAAATTAGGGTCTTGAAAATAGATGCACATGTTCTTGCTAGTCTTCTGTTTCCTTTGATCACAGTGGCCAGTGCTGATGCTGATTTACAGGGACCACCTGTGAATGTTCCCTTCATTGTTGCCTGCTAAACTTGCTGCCACTGTACATTCATGATTGTCAAATAAGTGTATCTGTGGAAATGAAAAATGGTTAAAAGGTTAAAACTGAACCAATCTGTGGGAAGCCACGCTGGCCACGTTGGCTTCGTCAGGCTTTGCCACGTCAGCTTGTTTATTGTTCTTGCATCCTAATCGTCTGAGCATGCCTAATCGTCTGCACATGAACATTGTGACGTTATCCTAAGATGGCTGCTCACCTATCCCGATTGGGTGATGCACAATCGTCCGATGAGACCTAAGCCAATCAGACGACGCTGCATGTCCACATCATCATGAGTATATAAGCTTGGTGCTCCGTAGGGTCGGGGTCCTTCTCCTTCTTTTTTCAGTCTTTCTCTCTTTCAGCTTGGAGCTCCCAATAAAGTGTGCTTGAGAAGAATCCTGTTGTTGTCGTTCTTCCCGCTGGCGGGACAGGCGCAAGACCAATCAATGAAAATGACTTTTTTTTTTTTTTTTTTTTTTTAAGAAATAGACTAGGAAATGAACTCTCTGAAGTTTAAGACAACAATTTTACCCTTCCCAGAAAGGGAACAAGAAGACCCTTGAATGAGAAAGTGAGGGACTAGCAATCCTGACTAATCTTTGGAATGTTCTGGGGTGTGGGGTGTATCTCTATGACTACCACTGTGGGAGGCCAGAAACTGTTTTGATTCAACATGACTAAATAGCCAGCCTTGGCTCAAACTTAAGGAGTCTGACCCTGAGAAGTTTATTTTAGGCATACTTAGGCACATTACAATTAGGTGAAAGTTTTCCTGGTGATAATTAACTCAGTCCTGTGTGTACAGTAAAGCACAAAGTAAGCTAAATAAAGATCAGACATGGCTACATCAACACTCTTTAAATACATATGACTTTCCATAAAGATGGGTTCTACAGATTAAGGAAAACAAGCTCATGCAAAGGTTTTGGAGGAGAATCTGGTGTGTCTCTGCCACATCATTAGCAAAAGGTCACCAGGCTATTAACCATGTCTGCTCCTAGCCTTCTGGGCAGTTAACAGATTATACATCCATTCCTTTGAAGGAGCAACCCTGTGTGTTTAACATTCCTAGTCCACCTGGTACTTATCTGTGAGCACAAAGACCTCTTTATCTCATACAAGAAAGTACTCTCAAGATGACACAAGGACATCCAGGACCCAAGTGCTGGATAGATATTTATACTGGATATGTTCTTGTGTGCATTAATGGCTGTATCCTGTGCCTTGAACATATTGTGTGTCAAATAAAAGGCTATTGTGTGAACAAAAAGAGATAACACAGGCCATGGCAAAGAATATCAATGGGAACATTCTACAGTGAAGATCCCAATAACAAGACCCTGATGATAAAAATTTCAAACAGCAATCTTATCCACTTCT